GCAAAGTTTAGCAAACCAAAAGCAGGTACAGAGAACACACATAGTAAGTGTGTTGGACACTTATTGCATGGTGTCTCATCCAGTTCTCTGGTTTTAAATGAGGCAAATGGACTCCATTAATGCCTGTGGGGATGATTTGCATCTAAACATTCCCAAAGCTTCTGACACCTGTTCCGTTTGACACTGGAAGCGATGCCCTTACTAAAGTATTACAGTTTTCTGGTTTTACTAAAAGCTTGACTAAATTTACCAGATGCTTTAGGCTTTTCAGACAACACACCTGAGCATTGTAAGCTGGCAGGAATCTCTTAATTATTTCCATTTCTGGGATGAATGCGTAAAGATTTGAGTAAGCAGACTGGGCCCAGGGCACGTGAAGCTTCTCGGACTAGCGGGCAGAAGAAAATGCCGCTGAGAGCTTGCTGACTTCAGTCTGAATGGGGGGGTTCCCTTCAGCTCATTTGCTTTCTGTAAGAAGCACGGTCCAGGTGGCTACACCCCACCCACATACATATACCTGCTCACAAGGGAACACAATAAAACTGTATTTTAAACTGGTATTTATTTGGGTTTTCACAGGATTCACGAGAGGGCTTTTCCCAGGGCAATCTATAGAAAAGATCCCAATCCACCCACCTCCAAAGACCAGTTTAATATGAACTCTCCAACTTTCTGAAAGCTTAATATTTTTGAACCCAAGAAATCATCCAGTTCAAATTCCACTCTTTCAGTTGAGGACACTGTGGTGAAAGGAGAGGTCATCTGGCTCATCTGATTTTGGGTGGTGGAACAGGCACTCGACACCCAGCTTAACTGTCACCTTCTCTGTAAGCCTTCCCTGTCCCCAGCTGCTCCCTCTCTGAACTAACATGACCTTTTGTGTACTTGCCTCTGCCCCAACTTTTCTATCACAGCACATGCCTTTATAGTTTCCATTTGTTTACATCTATGTTTTTCCACTTTACTTTGAATTCCATAAAAAAGAGTTAAAGTCTTACTCAAGTTTTGACTACCTCCCTAAAACCACTACTGAGTAGCCATTCAAAACTGCCTGAAGAATTAATTCATGAATGACCAGATCTTTACTTACCACCGTACCTGCGACGGTTCCTTTTCTCTGTGTACAAAATGAAGATTGCACTGATGTGTCTCGAGATAATTGTCCACTTACGTATGGCAAGTGTTTCAAGGCCCTAAAAGAGCTCTATAAATGCCAACCATGATTACAACCCTTTGAAACAATGGGATATATGATTTACAAGTGGAAAAAGATGAGACACAGCAGGTAATGTTTCTTGCCTGGTTCACATTTCTATCCCCACCCATCATCAGATAGTGATTCAGAGGTAAAAACATCAACTTGGGAAGAGTGAGGAGGGTGTAAGTAGGGTCTAGGTAGAATTTCCAGGACCCATGCCATCACATCTGATGGGGCCAAGGGCAAGGGCTCTCGGGTGGAACGATGCTATTCAATTCCCTTCTGAAGTGGAGACTCAGATGATCAGTTCTACCAGAGCAGAAGAGGACTTAGGACAAGGACCATAAATTTGTCCAACCCTATGGTACCTTCGACCTTCTCTGTGGTGACCTACCAAGAACAGGGAGGGCAAGGCTTGTCTTGTTCACCTTTTCTTCCCTCTCCCCGAAGGCGTATCACATCAAGTGGCCAGGAAAGGTGGCTGTCTATTGACTGAACGGAGCATTCAGATTTCCTCCCTAATAATGTGTGTCAGGAAAAGAGGGGGCAGAAACGTTTTGTTTGGTTATTTTTCTGTGTGCCCTTACCAAGATTGCTGAAGGAAGAGGTGACTCACTGAGCCAACTTCTCACACGGCTGAGGTCATCATCCATTGTAGAGCGGAGCCAGAATCAATGATCAGATTGTTCCAGACGTGACATCGTCTGGCCTCAGAGGTCAGCAGCGGGCACAGAGAACACTGTGATTTCCCAGGGGGAGGAGGAATGGGGGAGGCTCTGACAGTGTGAATCCGCAGCTCAGCCCAGCAGTGAGCTCAGAAGTGGTTGATGTTACTTGTCTCTCTGTGTTTGATGAAATCAACCAGGTCCAAAACAAAACGAGCCCTGATGTCTCCTGTTGGAAACATCAAATTACCTGGGACTAGAGGATTTGTGGGTGGGCTGTGGGATTCTGTGGGAGGTCACTTCACATCACAGGCTTCTTGGCAGGAGCTGGAGAGGGAATCATAAGCATGGGCCCAGTCTAACTGACGCATTAAGGTTTTCTGCCACATGGCTCCTGTTTCCCCCGAATTCTGGATGTGGCAACAGTTCAAATCGTTTTCCCACTTCTCAGCCGAACCATTGTCAGTCACCTCAGAATGGTAATCCTTCGGCATAAGGAACTGGTGAGGTGGCCCCATTACCTCCTTTCTTGACGTCAGTGAGGGGTTGTTTGCTGTGGCTCTTCTGTGAAATATTCAGCATTTGGACTGCAATTAAAATTCATAGCTATGTATTATTAAATGGTACTGACTCATTCCATGACTTCTCCTCCACTGAATAAGTGCCAAAAAGTGCCATATCCACAGGCTGCATGAAACTAAAAGTTCCTTGTCAAACAATTTACATTCATGGCTCCAAAGACAGCACATTACACATCCAAGAATATCACTCAGTTTTCTCAAGGGGAAATTTTAGTTCTGGATTCTTTCTGCTAGAGGGAGAGGAAGATGGCTCCTGAGAAGAACCTTCTTCCCTTTTGTGAGTTTCACGAAAGCAGTGCCTGGCTCACAGAATTTACTCAAAAATGGGCTGATCTGATTGAATTGTGTACCCCATATGCACTATATCTCAGAGAAGGGCAAATGTGCCTTCACACATAATTCAGCAGGAAAATAAAAGATACAAAGTTTAGATTTTATTAAAACAACCAGTTTTTCTTCCCCGTCATCTATTATTTAGTATTGGATATGTTTGGAAGCATGGCCAAGAGAGCAAACCACCCTAGTCCTTTTCTCCCTTCCTGTTAAAAAAAAAACTGTGCTTCTGCCTCAGACAAGGACACTCCAAGCTCACCAATCACAGGCTCGCATCTCACTGTCCCCCACCTCCTCATCTGCAAAATGGGCACGTGAACAAGCTGTGTGTTACAAGCAATGAAATCACGTAGGTGAAAATAAAGCTTTGTAAAACCTCAGGCTTTTTATACACATGGTAATTCCCCAAGAGGTAGAGATTAAGAGTCCTAGACATGAAGTGATAAGTTGGGTTTTATAGCCTGGCCTGCCTCAAGCACATAGAATACTGTTGAGTGAAACTAGAGAAAGGCCCAGGTCTGCGGGTCCACAGATTGGGAAGCGAGCATCATTTTTGACAACTACAAAAAGGCAGCCCTTCTTCTTGTGGATGTTGCCCTTTGCCAGGATTCCTGTGCCCACAAGCCTCCTGGGCCAGGCATTCTCCCATCACTCCAATTCTGTCACCAGATCTCCCAGGCATGGGATTGAACTGTGACTTATAAGACCTCCTTCACACCTTCACTTTGTAGTTCTAAAAGCTCTAATGGGCTCTTCTAGCACACAGACTGTCATTTTTTAGTTCAATTTTTTAAAGTCATCCGATGACACTCCCTAACTATTTGAATGAAATCATGTATGGTTTGATGTGGAGCAGATTAAAAATATAAATGCTTTCCAGTATAGATGATGTCCCAGGTGTAAAACAATATCGGTAACCTACAAAACAAGAAAAACTCCTCCGTTGTCAGCAAAGGGTGGGAGATATGGATCTACCACAAAGTAGATTTATGGAGGCCTTCACCTACTTTCTGTGGGGCTGAATGTCAGAATCCCTGCTGAAGCCCCTTGCTTGCTCAGAGCACCCAGAGCACCCAGGAAGTGGGACTGCAAGGAGCCAAGGGCTGTTTTCTTTGTTGATGCCTTGTTGCCAGAAAACAGAAATCAGATCCTTGCCCGGATCTTCCTATCAGCAGATCTGAGTGCCAGCAAACACTTCTCAGAGATAGCAAACAAATAGCAATCTACCTTTTCAGAGCTCAGAAACTTTTATGGCCTTAAAATTGGGTTTAAAGTTTTAAAATCACATCCTATATAATAAAGAGCTATTATGCTAATTAGACTGAACAGCAGAACAACGATCCAAGCAACTTTCTGGATGACCATCCAGATGACCTTCCGGACGAAGCCAGGGCTGTGAGGGCTGAACCCCTTGCATGAATTTTGTGCATGGGGCCTCTGGTATACATATAATGAACCTAGTCACTCAAGTCTCAAAATGTTAGTAGAAATAAATGTGGTTGAATTTGTGAATATTTCCAAAACCAGTTCTTGTTGTTTGTTTGTTTGTTTGTTTGTTTGTTTAGAGCCAGGCTTCTGGAAACAAGTACAGCCAATTATGTCACTTACAGAGAAGAAAACTGGAGCCCAGAAAGGGAAGGAGAGTAGCTCCAGGTCACACAGCAGGGCATGTATGATCGCGCTGTGATTATAATCTAATGTTCTTTCCACTCTCCCATGATGGAAATGCAACTAGAAGGTTGGGTGGAAAACAGCACGTAAATCACAATGACTCATTTGTTCAGTCTCAAGGATGAATGTTCTTATCACTCACTCAGATCATAAATGGTGGAAAGTCAATGTGAGTTTTAGAAAAAAAAATTTATTTGCTGCTTTTCTGAAAGGCTACGGCCTCTAGCACTGTCCATCAAAGAGGCAGGTGACCTCCCACTGTCTAGGGCAGCAGGTTCCCCTTGGCTAGAACCACCCCAGCCCCATCCCACATAATGTCTCAGAATTGGCACCAAGGACCAGACATTGTCTGGATGAACACCTCTGTTTGCTACCCATTTCTGTTTCTTCAAAAGCAGTGCTCCCAGCTCTTGCAGCCACAGAGCATCTGCCAGCAAAACTAATCATTGCCCAACGTTGCCCCTGGGTCATCTCCAAAGCTCCTGTGGGACCACAAAACCATTACCTGAAGATAAACCAAATATTTGGGAGAAGAAAAACAAATGCCAGATATTAAAATAAGGCTCCCTTTATTAAACCGACCAGTCACAAGAACAAGCCCACATGCTGGACAGTAGCAAAGAGGAGGGACCACCATGCTATGCAGATGAAGACTAGAATCAATTAGAAATCCATTTTTCTCAAGATCAACATGCTCCTTCTCACCCGTGGACTCCACTCTCAGGCAACATGCCCAGAATCAGATGGGGTTCAAGATTTTCTTCTAAAAGTCACTGGGGTGAAGATACATTCTATTTCAAACCCCTAAGCAACCTCCAGAAGAACACAACTCCCAGGGCGTCCTTTCTGGAGCACTGTGGAGGACGGATCGAAGCTTCCAGTGTAAGTTTGTCTTCGGTGGAAATACCACCAAGGCCTTGGAAAGGTTGGGCCCCTCCATCTCACGCAGTACTTATCAGAGTGGTTCTCTCTCAGAGCCTGGGGACCCTCGGCCAGTGATAGGTGAGGCAGTGCAGACGCCACCACCACCAGGCACCTCAGGCTCAAACTCATGGCCATCAGCACCATGAGAGGAGGTGGCTGAGAGGCTCAGAGCCAGAAAGGCCTTCTGAGATGGCAACACACACTAGCTTTAGAACTACATCACACACAGTGTACCCCAAAAGGACTTACTCTTTCTGCTTTAGCTCTTGTATCTGCAGCCAATGAAGTGCATGTGTGTGTGTGTTGGGGGTGGGGGGGAGATGACTGGGCATTGAGAGATGAACTGATGAAAAAACCAAGACAGACAGACAGACTGAGTGAGGCAAAGCAAACATCCTTAGGAACAGAAGGGAGATCTGATGACTCGTATTAACCTGTTAATTTATACCATGGCTCTGTACAAAAATAAAAAGGTTCTCATAAGATTATTAACAATTTAAATAAATATCTGATAGAACACTCTTTCTCATTTTTATAGCTCATCTTTTGGGTTGATGTTCAGTTCGTGTTTCCCTTGTTGTTCTTGATCCAGGATTGCGATCACTTCGTCGGCTTTTATCCGCTCCTGCAAAAAAGACAATTTGCACATTTTTGTTACAAGCATCATAGTCAGTCCTGGTGGCAGATGCTTTCCCAACACTTCCAGGCATCCATCTGTCCATGGAATGGAAGCTAAATCCAGTTAAGGATTGAGCCTCATCTCATCCCTGCAATGAATGGTGCCTTCTCCTGATCTCCCTGTGTCCTAGTCAATCTACTTTCCAAAATTTCTCTCTTGCCAAGAAGTCTTCTATATTCAACTGCTGACTCCCTTTTCTATGTTGTGGTCCTATAGACATCTCCAGGTCAGCTCTACAGTTCAGTATTTCAAGCTGAATTCACTGTTTTCTTCTGCACAGAACTACTCTATTCCTCCTCACAAATCCCCTCTCTCCTGCTCACCCATGTGCCCTAAAAGCCTGGCCATGGATCCTTGGATCTCATCCACCTCCTGTGCCCACCCCTTTCTTTTCAGTGCACATTACTGTTACCTTTGCTTAGACCAGGTTTCTCAACCTCAGCTCTACTGACATTTTGGAACAGATCATTCTTTCCTGTGAGGGCTGTCCTGTGTGTTGTAGGGCGTTTAGCAGCATCCCTGGCCAGTAGCAGCTCTCCCCAAGTCATGACAACCAGAATTGCTTCTGGACATTGTCAAATGTGCCTCAGGAGGCAAACCAGCTCCCGCTTGAAAAGCAAGGGTTTAGGCTTTCATCATCTCTCAACTCAATTGCTACAGCAGCCTCCAAATTGATCTGTTCCACACCCCATACCCACATGCTTCTAACAGAACCCATGCACTTGACTCATGACCATGTCATCTTCCTGTTCACTGCTCACAGCCCTGGCATGGCCTCTCAGTGCCTAAAGTTCCAGGTCCAATCTCCCTGCTGTGCTTATAAGGAGTTGTTTGATTTAGATCATTCTTTCTTTTCCAGCTCACCTGTCCTCTCTCACTTCACCTTACACTCCAACCTCCTAACTCACCTCAAGGTCTCTGAACCCATCACTCTCAGAAGAATTCCCCAGTTCTCTTTTCCACACATTTCTCACTATCTGAAAATCTCTCAATTATTTATTCTTTTACATATCTGTTGTCTTTTTCCACTAGAACGGAAGCTCCATGAAAGCAGAGAATCCTGTCGTTTTGCTCACCGCTGTATTTCCAGTGCCCAGAGAAGCTATTTTCACTTTGCAAGGCCTCCATTCTATCTGGTACATTAATGTAAAAGTTCTATAAAAAATATCTCTTCTTAAAGAAGCTGTGCTCATCCTCTGAGACTCATGTCAAATGTCATCTCCTCAATAAAGCCATTCCTGGTTTCCTGTTTATATCCCTTAATAACTATTATCGAACTGCTTCTTGTGTTTTAATTACTCAGGCACCTGTATTCACTGTCCACTTTGACTTGAGCTCCTTGAAAATAGGAGTTTTGTCTGTCTTACCGATTTCGTATCCCCTGTAGATAGTCCCTAGCACAATGCCTTATACTGTATGTCATGAAAGTAACTACTTTGCAACTTGAAAACAAAGCCCCATTCATTCAAGAACTTGTAATTGAAAATGACGTCGGATATAAAGGTAACTAAAAGGCCCAACTACACTAAATAACAGAAATCTAAATTGCTGTCATGATGCCTAAGTAAAATGCCTGGATGCCATTTTGTGAATATGGGAAGAACAACCTGCTTCTTAACAACAGATGTACACACCAAACTTTCTCCCCAGACTGCCCGGGAGACTGCTGCATCCTCTATCCTGAAAGGAAAGAAGTTCCACAGCGGGGACGCTACACACAGAAACTGAAGCCTCTAATACTGGGCGTCTTTAAGAGTTTATGATCTGAGATACTCAGTAAGAACTAAGTACCTTTAAAATAACCTGTAACGAGCATGGGAGTTGCCAGCTCCAGTCATTTATTCATAGACTTTGTCTGCTCAGGGATTCAATCTGAGAAGAGGCGCCTAATTCAGGGACTTTCAAACTTTGCTGCACATTAGAATTACCTGAGCAGCTTTGAAAACTTCCGATACCCAGGTCACACCCCATGCCAATTAAATCAGAATTTCTGAGGAGGGCAGCCTGATGTCAGGAGTTTGTGAAGTTCCCCAGTTGATTCCAATGTAGAACATTGCTTGAGGCTCTGGTCATTTTTTTCTGTGGCCACTAGATGTCGCTATTGTCCAGCGACTGGAAACATTTCCCAGTACTTGCCCTTCAGAGGAGCACCGATGTTACTGGTTAGGAAGGAGCAAAGGGAACTATTTTGTGTTAAAACTTTTATTTTGATAGAAAATATCTTGGAAGAGAGAGTTGAGATACTGAATAATAAAACAGATGAACTGTTTGCTGAATTGAACACTAAAGAGAGGAAACAGTAAAGCAATTTTTCAACAAGCTATCTTCACTGCTGGCTCGCTTATCTAGGCTCCCTAGTACAGAGTGCTGTGGCAGCATGCTGGCATTTGGAGGTGGAGAAGCACAGGAAAGAAAGGAATTAATCACAGATGAAGGAGATTGCTCAGTGTCCCTTGACGTTTTCAGAACTCTCTGTGCTCCTTTCCCTCAGTTGGGACCATATTTTTCTCTTTCTGAACTTTTATATGTTTTTCTTTTTCTTTAAAAAATATTTTATTGAATTTTAGAGAGAGAGAAGGGAGAAGGAGAGGGAGAAACTGATATGACAGAGGAACATCAATAGGCGGCCTCCTGCACTTCCCTCTGTCCCCCACCAAGGGGCATGGAGCCTGCAACCTACCCAGGCATGTGCACTGACTGGAAATCAATCAGCAACCTCTAGGTGCATGGGGCAACACCCAACCAACTGAGCCACACCAGCGAAGGCTATATATGCCTTTCTTGATTCCCCTACAACTCATACTGCTGTCTTCTCACTTTCTACTTTCTTGTCAACCTCCCCAAGCCCCTCCTGGTCAGGTAGTATGTTTTGTTCCCCTTTGCCCCCACCCCCCACCCCTCCCCAGGGCCTACCTAGAAGAGCTTCTCAGGCACAATAGTAGCTCTTCTGTAAACATTTGTTAAATATGAATGAATGCTTAAAATATGGGGAGTTAGGTTTGATGGCAAAAAAGTATATGAGAAACCTAGTTAATTTTAAACAGTTTCTGATTAAATTGTATTCAATTTAGGGATCTAAAGAGGAAAATTGGATGGAATGTCATTTTATTTATTTTTAATTAATTTTTAAATATAGTTTTGATTTCAGAGAGGAAGGGAGAGGGAAAGAGAGAAACATCAATGACAAGAAAGAACCATTGATCGGCTATCTCCTGCATGCCCCCTACTGGGGGTCAAACCGGAATCAAACCTGGGACCTTTCAGTCCATAGGCTGATGCTCTATCCACTGAGCCAAACCAGGTAGGGCAGGTGGAATGTCATTTTAAAGAATAGAACTCATCTACAGTTGGGGCCAGAGAAGACTTGGAAGCTGTCCAGTTGAAATTTCCATTTCAATTTCAGCATCCATGCCAAGCGGCTGCTAAGGCTTTGATTGGAGCCATCCTGTGATAAGGAACTCACTACCCAAAGCAGACAATTTCAACAAACAGTGGTGACGATTTATAAGTTATTTCTAATATGTTGAATCCAATTTTTTTCTAGGGAATTTGACCCATTGGTCTTCTTTTATTCCTCTGCAACTTCACAGATAGACCCTATCACCTCTGCCCAAGGGCATCCACAGGATAAGATCATGGTCTCTTAACCAGGCTAAGTGTTCTCAGCTGCTTCCCATATAATAAGAACAATATTTTAATATTTAGGATTTAATTTAATCATAATAAATAACATTGAACTTCCAGGTTCCCTTACCTCTTCTACATGTGTCATAAACTAGTCAGTGCTCTTTGAATGATTTGTTGAGAAAACGAATCATTCTTCCCAGTAACCAGTAGAAAGCGGTTCCTCTCTTCTGATGCTACAGTTGTTGTTGTTGTTTTTTTAAAATAAAGCTCAAGACCAATTAAGGACAGCCAAATATCATTGATATATCAACTTCTGCAGACATTCACTTATTAGAACGCATGTGATTAAAAATTACCTTCGTCGACAATGAGGTATCACCACACACCTGTCAGAATGGCTACCATCAACAAATCAACAAATGAAAGTACTGGTGAGAATTAGAGAAAAGGGAACCTTAGTACACTGCTGGGGGGAATGTAGACTGGCGCAGGCACCATGGAAAACAGTATGGATTTTCCTCAACTGCCATTTGACTCAGTGATGCCACTTCTAGGAATATATACTAAGAAACAAGAAACATCAGAAGGAATATATGCCCCCATATGTTCATAGCAGCACAATTTATAATAGCTAAGATCTGGAAACAGCCCAAGTGCCCATCAGTAGATGAGTGGATAAAAAGCTGTGGTTCATTTACATCATGGAATACTATGCAGCTGTAAAAAAAAGATCTCTTACCCTTTGAGACAGCATGGAGGGACCTGGAGAGTATTATGCTAAGTGAAAAAAGCTAGTCAGAGGAAGAAAAGTATCACATATCTCATTCACATGTAGAATGCAATAAACAAAATAAACTGATGAACAAAATAGATCCAGAGACATAGATACATAGAACAATCTGATGAATCTCAGAGGGAAGGCAGGGGTGGGTGGGTAGGTAGGAAGAGATTAACCAAAGAATTTATATGCATTTATGCATAACCCATGGACACAGACAATAGTGTGGTGAAAGCCTGGGGTGGGGGAGGGCTAGAAGAGGCCAATGGGGAGGAAGACGGACATCTGTAATACTTTCAACAATAAAGATAATTTTAAAAAACAACAAAAAGAATTGCCTTCATCCTCTCTCTCCTTTCCCCCTCACCCACACCACAAATATTAGATGATCAGGAAAATTTGCTCTTGCATAAAAGACGGTCTGTGTTAGAAACATGAGAGAAAGGATTCTGTAACAGCTATAAAAGGGTTTTTGTTTGTTTCCCATGTTCTCTAAGGTTTTTGAGGGGTTATTCAAGAGCTTAAAGGACTTTTCAGATAAATCAGTTTATGAAGCAGGTCTACGAGGCATCTAACTAGCTTTCTGGGTGGGACACTCACCAATTCTCTATAAATTGGGTCCAAGGTAAACCACAGAGCCACAGCACACCTCTGGCCCTTGGTGACTGCCTTCACCCCGTGCGGGTTCTCCCCTCCAGATGAGAAGCTGATCATCCGTCCACACTTTGGTTTGATAGAAGCCTGGGAAAAAAGTGAAAATCAGACTCTCAATTCCTGTGTCACAAACATCTCTACAACCCCTGTTCTTTATCCTTCTATGGGAGTATTTGGGTCAAGTGTTGAGTCAAAGAATAATGGAACCCTGACGTTGAAAAGACACAGATTATTTCAATTGCCTCATCTGTAAAACAAAGGTAGGTCAAAATAACACTAATTCAGAAAATAAAAGTATTCAGGTGAAGGCCTCAGGTAGGGGCAGGGGTTGGGTAGAGGAGGACAAAGGGGGACATCCGTAATACTGTCAAAAAATTTTTAAAATGTCTGAGACCGAGGGGAGAGAGAGTGTGTGTGTGTGTGTGTGTGTGTGTGTTCAAGGGAAGAGCAGAGAAAAGGAGTCATTTTCCAGTCTTCTTTTTAAAAAAGTTTTAAATATATTTTTATTGATTTCAGAGAGGAAGGGAGAGGGAGAAAGAGATAGAAACATCAATGATGAGAGAGAATCATTGATCAGCTGCCTCCTGCACACCTCTCACCAGGGATCAAGCCCACAACCTAGGTACTGGCCCTTGACCCCAATCAAACCCAGGACCTTTTGATCCACAGGCTGATGCTCTATCCACTGAGGCAAATCAGGTAGGGCCCAGTTACTCTTCTTAATAATGAGGGGTGATTTGTCTTTGCTAGGGAAAGTTGCTTATGTTAAATAGCTTTACCAAGATAACTTTTCTGATGGCAATCTAGAGAGTTTAGTAGTTACTGGTACCCTCAGTATCTATCTGATTTCATTTTTCTGAAGAAGAAATTTATTGTACATTTCCACATAAAACCAGCAAAATAAATACTACCCAATGCATATTGCATAGGATGGTGTTAAGACCGGGTTTCAAGTTTTCTGGCTGCTCATTCCCTAGCACTGGTCAGGCTCACTCAACACACAAGGTTGCCGTCACTTCTGTGTGATTCCGTGAGTCTCAGCATCAACTTTTTAAAATACTCT